GGAGTTTGTTTAGTACTAAGGCAGCTCAATGCAGCCTTCGACTTTGAAGCACTCTATCTTCTCTCCCCCATGTCAGTGGGCACAGGCCTCCACTGTCATCTGGCTCAGGCAAAACTCAGTAGCCAATGGGACTTTTTCCTGCCTCAGGCTGCAATGTACCTTGTCTCTGCCTCACACCAAGGGCACAGACAGTCTTACTCTGAAACAGAAGCATCCATGTGGGGGGCAGCAGGGGGGAAATGTCCTATAGTTACTTAACCAGGGTTCCTCTTCTTGGATGTAACCTTTTGGGCTAGCAGCCAGAAGAGTGTCTAGTTTCCTGAGGACCAGGAGAGGCTAAGAGGATGTGTGGAGGCACAAGGCATCCAGAAAGGTTGTCCGGGCCTTCAGTGGATCCCCTGAAACCTACCATAGGTCTCAGAAGATCTGTGGGCTCTTTGGCTTGAACTATCTGCCGGTTCTGATGGCCGTGAACCTCAATCCCTCCCCCATCACCCCAAGACACACATGTAATAGCTGGCCCAAGAGCATGATGTACAAACTCAAGTCTCCAATAACCTTACGCAGGAAAGATCTGCATCACCAGTGGTATCTGGTGCCGACGCAAAATCAAGGGGCTGGGCACTCCGCCATCCTGCACAGCCGACCACAACTTGCACCAGGCAGAGATCTTTCCAGGCACCTCCACCCATCCCCCCGCTCACAAACCATCAGCTTTGCTGAGCTGCAGAGTTTCCCCCACCAGGCAGCAGAACCCCAACTTCTTACCAGGCCCACCCACTGCCTCTGTTTGACGCAGCTGGCTCACAATCAGACTCCTTGTACAGCTGCAGAGGAGGGGATGGAGCTCTGTACTTAGGCTGTTTAGGTCCCTTTTTGTTCCCAGACAAGACAGCCTGAGACCATGTTCTGGTCATTCAGTAGAGGGAGCAGCTTTTAGGGGCTGAAAAAAAACTAGCCTGTTCCCTCCCCCAGCAGCAGTCCTTGCAGCTAAACTTTGCCAGTTTTTCCCTTTGTGGACTGTATTCTAAGAAACAAAGTGATAGGCCCAGCCCAGTCCTTTTCTCTCTGGGGCCTGCCCAAGGAAAAAAGGTCTAGGCTAGTTAGCAAAACAAATCCCGCATCAGTAGCCACCACCAATTATAGTGGACAATGTGGCCCACTGTTTCCATGCCTGACAACTCATTCTATAACGTGGTATTATCTATTGTTATTTTATGTAAATATTGAGGTATTTTATATAAATATTGCCTTTTAAGGATATTGAATGGATCCTGAACTACAATATTCAAACCATAGTGAGTTGAGGTCAAGAACATTCAATTGCTTTGTTTTGTATGTAGGAAGGGAAAGGTTCCATTTTTTTTTTTTTTTTTTTTTTTCTGAAAAGTGTCGTGGTGAAACTGAAAATATTCCACCAACTGGGGGAATTTTCTGAAGTTGTCACAGAGACGGTGCCATGAAATCTAGCAAAATTCCCCCACCTCTGTTGCTGTGACATACAAGCTTCAGTTTTGCTTGCCACCCCACCCCACCCACTCCCTTTTTGCACATGGAGATCTTGATGTTGCAAGCTGCTCTTTGCTTGTGAAAAGCCTAGCCAAGCTACACAGACTAAAAGAGCATTCCCGACTTCATGCCAAGCAGGAGAACAGGCAAACAGAGGGTTTCACACTGTGTTACATGTGGAATTTTTCCTATAGCCTTAGTTCATTGTACCTAATTTCTGTACAGGTGGTCTTGATTATTCACTGGTGTTAATTTGTTCAGGACATGAAAAGCCCCACTTACCTATACTAGCTTACTCTCTGTTAGTGCAATAAGATATCTTGTAAGTTCAAATTTCTCAGTCTACTTGTGAAGCTACTGTGAGCTGTCTAATGATTCTACTAAAAAGGGAAAATTTGAGTTACTTGATTTCCATTATCTTTATTTAACAGTGTGTGCCGATTACTCAAAGCGATATGGGCAGGACCTGGTAATATAGTGTTGCTCTAGTATTAACTTAAGGGGATGATCCAGTTGCCTGCAGTATAAATTACTTTGTGTCCAGGAACCCTGCTTTATCGCTTTGTATAGTTTTAAAGTAGTTAAAAGCTTGAATAACATAAAATAACATAATATAATGTTATTTATGTTATTTCCCACGTGAAGAACTCCTGTAAACCTTGCAGTATTGAAACTCAGTGAACAAGGCATCTTAGACAAGCTGAAAAACAAATGGTGGTACGATAAGGGTGAATGTGGAGCCAAGGACTCCGGAAGTAAGGTCAGTCGCCGAAGGTCTTTTTGTACTGATTAGAAATCACATTTTGACCCACTGTGTGTTTATACAAAAATGACTTTCAAAAGTTAATATTTACGTTTTGAAGGTTCAAGGAAAAAGACTAGAAAAATTAAAGATCAGAATATGACAGCATTTTTCTTTTACAGTATCAAAGACTTTAGTTGTAAGTACATTTTACTACTTGGATATTTTGCTGGGGGAAAAAAAAGGCCATGGAAAATGCCTAAACAAACCTCAGACTGGTATCTCCATTTAACCTACAAGCTTCATCACAGTCAATGTATTATTTAGTCCAGCATTGCTTTTCATTTTTGAGTTATGAGTACATAAAATTTTGTTTCAAAATTGTAACTAAAATTTCTGTCCACATTGGTTGTGAGTGATAGGCCACGCATGCTTCTGAAGGATGGATATTTTCAGGAAAGACATCACATTGATGAGCATGAAACACCTTCCCACCACCACCACCACCTCCAAGAAAGTTTAAATTTTCTGTTTGAATTTTTTTCTAAGAAAACTAATATTGTGATATTATTGGTAACTCATTTCATAAATCTTGGACATTCATTTTATTGTGCATTGAACCATTTTGCTCCTGTATTACTACATTCCATACCAGAAATTTTGTAACGGTTGGAGAATCTGAATACCTGGCATACTTTAAATCAGAGGTTTTCAAATTGTGGGGCATGCCCCCCTAGGGCAGCATGGAGGAATATTCGAAGGGGCAAGTGGTGACGCTGGGGCCAGCCCCACAAGGCAAGGCTCAGGGAGGGAACACCACCCCCACCCCCAAATCACCTCAGTGGGCCACCCAGCCCGTGGGTCAGTGTTAATGCCTCCACACCCAGCGCTGGCTCTGTCCCCAGAGACCATCGCACGTGCCTTCCACCACCCTGAAAACCCGGAGGTGGGAGGAGCAGGTATTGGGAGTTGCAACCAAAAATTGTAACTCAAAGGAGTGGGGGGCTCAGCTCAAATAGTTTGAAAACCACTGCTTTAAATGTATTGTTGGTACAGTTTATGGTTTAATGTAACCAAGCTACATACTAAAATTAATCATTGAGGGCCAGACATCAGGTAACCCTGCAGCTGTTCCTCATGTAGAATTCCCAGATACTTCAGGAAGTTCCACATGTGGATTAGCGGCTGGGTCAGGCCCATGATTTGTATATTTCCTGTTTTATTTGGGGGGAAACATTCTGCTTAACCCAGGTAATGAAAATACAGAGGTTTAGTTAATGCTAGTAGAACTATTGAGGAAGAACAGTACTGACCCAACAGTAAGCATTATTGGAAAGGATTTTCAAAGACACCAAGAGGAGATAAGCAACCCAACTCCCATCGGGAAAAAAAATCACTCCCCTTGGTGCCTTTGCAAATCTCCCCCATTATTAGGTGTTTTACTCATTTAGAGCTGTCTCCTGGTCCCACTGAAGTCAACAGCAAAACTCATTGATTTCAGTAGGATTGGAATTTGCTCTCAAGGCCTGATCTTCCAGCTGTTGCAGAATAACTTTGGATCAATGAGAGTTTGAATGCACAATTGTAGGATCAGGCTCTACATGCTTGAAATACAACTGCAAACATAAAATTTAAAACTGCAGGTAATTTATAAAACTGCCTTTATCCAAAATGCCTGTGTTTCCCCAAGGCTGTTACTAGGCAGATTGTATTTTCTCCTGATTTTTCAGAAGTTTTGGACATCCCCAGACAATTGTCATACATGAAGGTCTACCTGCAAATATTTTAAATTAGTAAAAATATTTACTGCAGATTGCTCTGACATCTGGCTTGACAACAGCCACCTAGATTCTGTGTGTTGCAACTCAAAGAAGGAAAGTATGAATAAACAATATTTAATAAATGCAGAACACAATTCAATTCAGCAGCAAAATGGTTACAATTCTGCATAATCGGATTACAAAAATTCTATTTTTTGAAATGAAAGACTTCCCTGTCGTCCATGCATTGAAGGTGCATCTAGACAGCTTTTTTAAAATTAATATTAATTTTATTCAGTAAGCCAGCCTCTTTTTATAACAGCGGGTGCTAGTGTAGTTAGCTGGACCTGAAAGTAACTGACCGTCTTCCTCAAAAAAAAAAAAAAAAAAAAAAATTTTATTGTTAAATAGAAACCAGATAATTTTCTCAACATCCAAATTATTTTCTCTACATTCACCAAAAACAACTAAATCTTGTGTCTTGTTAGTTTTAAAATGGACTTCTATAAATTCTACCTTATTTTATGCAGTCATTGATCTACCCAATGGGGAATTCCAAAAATATTTGAGATTCTTTGGGGAGAATGAGGCTAGGTGCCTTCTGTTTGCTACTAGATATACTCAGCAGCATATAGGTTTGCTGGGTGGAATCCTAGCCCTATTGATGTCAATGGCAAAAGTCTTATAGATTTCACTAGGGTCAGGATTTCACCCACTGAACAGGGTGAGATAGCACAATAATGGTCTTAAGAATCCCTAGTTTAAACCATTTCTGTGTCATTGGGATAAAGTTGAGACTAACACCGATAAATGAGCTCCAGCATGTAAAGTAACTAGATAAGAGTATTTGGGGCACCTGATTTTCTGAACTGGGATTTCTGGATGTGCGGGCGCAGGGAGTCTGATGCAAATAGAGTTATATATGTCCGAGCTAAGCCAATTTCACTTTTTGCTGCAGAAAAACTAATCAAGTGGTTCATTTTTCTTAGGACAAGACAAGTGCTCTGAGCCTGAGCAATGTTGCTGGGGTTTTCTATATTCTTGTTGGAGGTCTTGGTCTCGCCATGATGGTTGCTTTGATAGAATTCTGTTACAAGTCTCGTGCAGAGTCCAAACGAATGAAACTCACAAAGAATACACAAAACTTTAAACCTGCTCCTGCACCCAATACCCAGAATTATGCTACATACAGAGAAGGCTACAACGTTTATGGAACAGAAAGTGTTAAAATCTAAGGGTACGATTCAGGTCTAGTAAGCTAATAAACTGGTTTATATTTTGCTAATATCTGTTCTTCCTCCCCCCTCCCCCAAGCTTGAGTAATTTTTCAGAGTTATTATATGTATCAGAGTGAATGGGCTGCAATAATTTTCATAATATAGTCTGGAAAAGCTCTTTCACAATACACAGTAATACTTGTGATTTTATTTGTTTTCTTAATCAAAAAGAGGCCAGTTTCCATTCCATATCTTTAATGGCAGTGCCAGAATTGATGCTGAAGTGAATGACTGTTGTATCTGAGGTTCTGACATTTCAATAGCACAGTGTTTCAAAAAGTTCCACCCATCCCTTTAAATATTAACTGTACATTTAGAAATCTTTTCTGCTTTGCTTGTGATGTTTTCCCCTTTATTTTTTTTAAGAAGTTGTGCTCAATTCAGCTAAGTGCTTCTAGGAAGTCTGGTAAATATTTTACATGCTCCTGATGAGAAATTTAGAAAAATATCTCAAATTCTACAATAGAAGTGGGTGATTTCTTCATGACAAAAGTACAAGTTAATTACTAAATCAATGCCTTTCCAGAAGTTATTTAAACAGAGTAATTCACATATTACACCTATAGCTAAACTAAAAAGCAAAGGAATTCTAACTTTCAGATAATCTTTGTTGCTGGAAGTGATGAGGGGGAAGGTTGCGTCATTCAGTTCAGATTAGAATTATGGTAGCTGATGATAACCCGCACCTCTGAGTCTACAAAATAGGGGTCCCACTCCTGCTTCCATTGACTTGAAAGGAACCTTTCCAATGACATTTCCCAAAACTTCCCGCTTCCCATCGGGTTGGAAATGTTATAAGAACTGTCTAGCTTGTGGCATTACAGCTTCTGGCCAAAAGCAGAAAGGGACAAGGTGAGTAAAATAATGATAAGTTATTTTCAAAGAATCTAACTGGACATTTGCAAAGCCTCACTGCAATCTTTATCATCAGGAGTAAATACTGGTAGTATGGAAGCATCCAAAGGACTGAATGGGGATTGGGGCAGTATTGTGCTAGGGGCGGTACAAACAGAGAAAAAAAAAGAGAGAGAGAAAGAGACGATCTGTGCCCTGAATAGCTTTTAATCCTTCCTTTATGTAAACTGGTTCACTCTCCCCTAGATATAATGGTCTCCTTTCAGAAGAAAACAACTGAAATATTTGTATCCTTATTACAGATCCTCGCTTCTCACAGCATGCAACAGGAGGAGCAGCTGAGAATGTGGATACTCCATGGACCCTGACCACCTGAGCCAGTTTTACTTTCTCCTTAGGTGTCAGGCATGACACACATTGATGTTGGTGCAATGAACTTTTAATAGGAAAAACTGATTTTTTTTCCTTCAGTGCCTTATTGAAGACTCTGAGACTCAACAATGCAAAACCATCACTGAAATATTCTTGCTTTGCTTGAAAATTTAAAAAAAAATGAACTGGTCAAAGATACTAGTATGTGAAAAAAAAAATCTTGTAAAAAAAAAAATCAGTTCAACAAAAGCCATTCTTTGATACCACTGCACAGTATATGAACTTACGTTCTAAAATCCACAGGAGTCAGTTTCATCATATGCCCCCTACCTAACCAAGTTCTTAAACTATTCCTGATATAAAGCCTCAGAAATCCACTACTTATGAACAGACTGGCCTGTCACTACTTCTGAGAACTGCTGTCAAGATGCTCTGGTGGGGTTTTTTGTTTTGTTTTTTAAGCAGTGGTGTGATTTTTTTTCTAAGCACTTAAAATCCTCCAACTCATTTGAGGAAACGTGTATATCAATAAAAGATTAATGTAACACCACACACAAAAGATGCTTTAAAAAGTTAGGGTCAATGATTATTCATCTGTAAATCCAAAAGAAAGTGATTTGTAGAATTCTGTATCTTGCTTCCAGATCAGCAAATGAATTCTCTTGACAAGTTAACTATAGTACAGGCAAAAAAATACTTCTTTTTTTCTATCATCAGGCATACCTACAGGTGCTTTATTAAAATGGCATTAGATGGCTTTAGAAGAAGCCATTCATGATTTAGGTTTCTTGCTGTGCGTTTGCATTTTAATTCAATATTTAGTATCACGCAATGAGGCGAGAGAAGAGCAGGAGAATAGTTTTCCCCACACATGACTAAAACCACTTTTCTCAAAAACTAGCACTGAGAGATGATGCTTTTTGGCTAATTCTCATTTTAAAAAACAGAAATAAGGAAACAGGATAGTATCTCGAATTAGACTTGCAGTTCCAGACTATAGTTACGCGATCTCACATTACTATTGCTAGTACTGTTATATTATATCAGCTCCTGCCAATTATTGTTTCGTGGCTGTTCATCAAAGGAAGCTTGTGTCCTTTCCTAGATTGTAAAGGATACAATGCATTCCAAAATATACTGCTAAAGATAGAGGCTCAGTATTATTCACTTCCAACTTCTCAGATATGGGCAGTTTTTCAAACTTGACACTCTGCCAGAAAACGACTTACTTAACTGCAACTTTTTAAAACAAAAACTTTAAACATATTGTCAGTTACAAGAAAAAAATGTTAAAGGAAGTATCTGCATACTAATTACCTCTAATATGACAATATGTAATATCTGTAGTTCAATAGCGTTTTATTTCATCAGTAACAGACACTGAAAAATCAAAGTGATAATGAATAATCATTTTTAAAAAGAAGTTTGACCCTTAGGTCTCTAGTTCACTGACAATATATTTGATCTTTTGTGAGAATAAAAAAAGATAATATGGGAAAGTCTTGTTAAAGAAAAACATATTTCTGACAATGTAATATACAAAAGTTAAAGCTCGTAAGAGAACAATTCACTGTTCAAGTTTTTAACAAGGTATTGAACAAAATGAAAATGTTTTTTCTTCTCTCATGAAACTGTGATTTTCAACTTCTGAATGCTATAATGTCCCGGCAAAGGGAACGCTAAAGCTGTGCAGTTATAAGTTGTATTTAAAAAACAAAAACATTTTCTTAGAAGCTGTATAAAAAAAAATGTCTGTTTATCAAATCCATTTTTCTGAGTGGAGGCTTCACACGGGTGAAGAGGTTTGGTAAACCGTTTGTTATTTTTTAAACCTTGCATGTAAAAAAACAAAAAAAAAGTGTTGATAGCTTACAAATTCCTGTTACTAACTTCAAGCTATGGAAGTTCAGCAGTAGTCACTTGAGGATTTTTTTTTTATTATTATTTATTTGGTTTGGTCCTTTATTTTATTTATTTTATTTTATTTATTTTATTTTTAAATTAAGTTCCTATTTTTGTCATTAAAACTGCACTTCAGTGAACAGAAAAATTGCCAAGCAAACTAATGGCTGTAAAAGCATAAACTGCATGTGTGGGTATAAATTACTGAGCCTCATTTTAATGAGGTGTTGTACAAAGAGTTTTAATACATTTTGTAAATAAAATTGTAAAGAAAAAAAGATCCTCTGAACTTTTTATTCAAGGCTCCTTGCTGGTTGGGCTGAAGAGAGCAGATGGGATTCCTTGGATTACTTTATATTGTTTAAGCACCATTTTATTTATGATGTTTCAGTGGAGCGTTTCTCATCCATCTGGGGGGCTTAATGCAGCTTACTGAGGGGACTCTGCACTGGGCCAGCTATGGGAAAAAGGTGCAGCCCAAATTTAAGAGCTAACCCTGGGGTCTAAATCTGCGAGGTGCTGAGCATCTTCAGCTTCCTTTCATGCAGTGCGAGTTACTCAGCGCTCCAACTAGAAGTTGCAGAGGCTCACATGTGTCGGGAAGCTCAGTTCTTCGTCTCCTACACACTACAGCTCCCATCTCTGAGTCTGTCCCTCTCCCCTCCATCAGACAACCCACGAGTTACTGCTACCTTGGGATATGGCAGACACAGGTGGCCCAAAAGGCAACTAAATTCACTACTATGTGGCAGCACCTGAGATGGGTTGTCCCCACCTGGAATAAGGAGAAGCCTGTTGAGTAGAGCTGATGAGGAAACAGAATTTCTAACATTTCAAAACTCTCCTTCATTCTGAGTCAAAAGGCAAGTTCCTGTCATTGCAAAATAATAATTCCAAAATATTTTGTTTCTGAAATATCAAAATGAAACTTTCTGAGAAGTCAAAATGTTCTCTCATAGGATGGCCCCACCTGGGACACCCTCCAGAAGCAGGCTAGAGCATGGCAGGTGCACTTGCCTCAGGTTTCCCCCATTTGCTCATGAAAGGAACAAGTCTCTCAGTGTGCAATACAAAGTCTGTCTCTCGGTATAAAGTATTCATCTACACCAGTAGAGTTAATCCCCAAAAATCTTGTAGTAAAACCATCCTCCAATTTCCACAACAAACAAAGACACAGCAGGTTTTTCCAGCTTCCCTCTTAAGGGTCATCAGCTCCCAGCGACCCACCTGAAAGTCAAGAGCAGCGCTTTGTTCTCAGTGCCTCTGGACCTTGATCTAGGCCTCCCTGCCTGAGCATGACCAGTCTTCTCACAGCCCTTCACACAAGCCACCTGAGGGCTCCATCCTCACACAATGTTACACTCCTCCATGCCTGCCTGGGAGTCCGACCCTTGCTCAGGCGATTCATCCTCCTGCAACAAACCTCTTGTTCAGGGGCTTAGCTTCCCCTGACCCAGTTGGATCTTTCCCTCTTCCTAGGGGCCACTGCCTGAGCCTTCCACTCCCCTGGAGTCCCCAGCTTTGGTCAGTTCTCACCAACAATTTTACCCAGTCTCCTTCCCTCTGGGGTCCAGGAGCCCTCTCTCAAGCTGGGAGGCAACTAACTAGTCTCAGATGCACTGGCCTCTTCCATCTTAGAGGACCAGTGTCACCCTGGGACAGTTACATTTCAACTTTATGTTCTCTTATAAAAGTTGAAACAAAGTCAAAATGAAGCCTCTCCACCGTATCGAAACAAAATGTTGAGATAATTCCCCCATCAAAGATTTCAGTGAAATCTTTATTTTACAGCAAAACATTTCAGTTTCATCACATCGGCATTTACCAATGGGAAACTGTTCCACCAGCCCTGCTGTTGAGCTTCAGGCTGTATTGGACTTGAATAGTTTCCTAGGGCCCAGTCCTACAAGCCCTCAACTCCCAGTTGAAAATTCTCAAGAGGTGAGCTTTAAAAAACAGACTGATTTAATCCTCTGTCTGAAATCCAAGAAGTTTATGATCCTGCAAGCTGCTCAGTGCCCGCATCGCCCATTGACGGTAGTGAAGGGTGGGGGAACTCATTTCCTCCTGGAATTGGGTGCTTATTTGTATCTTCATTGTGTAAGCGATTAGTGCCTGAATCCGCAGGGTGCTGAGCACCTCCAGCATCCACCTGCTGCTCAACCACAGGGGCATTTGCCGGATTGTAGGAGACACTGATGGGAGTTTGAGAAGAAGCGATACCAGAACCAATTGGTGGGAAAGCAGCGTGGCTGGTCCTGAGTTGGCCAATGCTAGTTCCCCAGGACTGGAGATAGGATCAAAATTGAAATGGTTCTTTAGTTGCCATGGAGACAGGGTAGAGCTGAAGTGGAAAGAAACTCCTGAAATATACATATTTATAACCCAGTAACTCCCAACACTTAAATACTACATTTTTGACACTGCTGTTATAAATACATTCAACAAAAGAACTTCTCCGAAGTGTTCTGTTCCACCTCCACCGCCCCCCAGTCACATTGCCTGGAACTATTTTCTCTATTCCAACTACATTTGCTTGCTTTCCTTCCAAACCCAGGAAAGTTGTGCTATTTCTGAGCAGTTGTTCTAGTGCTTTACAAGCTATAACTATACAAAACCATCATAATAAATTGTCAGTATGCTACGGAGATAGTCACTGAGCAGCACTCCCCCCACCCCCCATGCGCTTGGGGAGGGGGGTAATATGGCCCTAAAGCTGCAGCACCAGCCCACGGAACATAATTTTAAAATATAATTTGGTCCTCTCCACAGAATTCAGATACTAATATCCATTTTGTCCGGTAGCTACAGGTTTAGTTTAGGCACCACCCACATGCATAAGGAGAGAAGCTACACAGCAGGACTGATAAATCCTTAAAAGGCTTAGAAAAGGGACTAAGAGCTAGAATTTATAAATGCAGCCTGATCACAGAACATAAACTATCGGCAAGAGACCTGAGTTATGAACTCACTGAAATGCAAGGCCAAATGCTCCGTCATACGCTAGCGAAGAAATGCCATGAAGAAATGCACGGTAAAATAGTAAAAAGATGTATATTGTATAAACACTATAAAGCCAAAGCAAGTGGCCCCGTGTGTGTGTGTGGG